CGCAAAATTTACCGTGTCCATTAAAGAGGCCGCAGCTACCCGTGATCGCGGAGCATCAAGGGAACCATGGGTATTAAGGTCGGACGTTAAAAGCGGCGCGAAAAAGGCCTCGGACCGATCCGTTGCCTACGTAGCCGAGCTGCGAGAGGCTTTCGCCTGATAATACATGAAATACGGAACTCCTCGATAAGTCGAGGTTTATTTAGAAGGTATCGGGAAAAATAATGGCCGCCCCGGAGGGCCTGTGAACAGTTTGATACGACTTAGCCCACCGGCTTGACAGCTGATAGATATTGGAGGAGAGCTTATCGTTGACCTGCTCCACTTAGTTATCTATTGTACATCGCTTCGGTCGCCGCCGGTCGAAAAGTTCGATCGACCGGGCCCGTTGCGTGCGAATCGTTCACACTAGAATTCCGAGCGATTAATTCCACCTTTTTTCGGTACTACCGAAGTTGAGTGTCGAAATATTTGATCAGTTATTCACCGGTAAAATTGTATCGGGCGTTTTTACTGTCGGGTAGAAATTTTGTAACTTTTTTTAGTGTTTTTATTAGTCGTATTACATTTTTTATGGTTTGATGTGTTCATAGTTTTAGGGTTGTTTGAGAGAAGTATACAATTGTGTCGAATTTTTCTATTTTCTGGTGGAAATTTGGTTACTTTTATATTATTTCTATTATTTCTACTACTTTTCTTAGTTTTTAGTTATAATTAATAGGAGTTACTGGGTTGATTAGATTGTAATTTCTTTCTTATAGGATGATTAAATTTTGTTACTTTCAATTTATGAGAACTACATCGTGGTCTTTATTGCATCGATAACGAAATGAGTCAACAAAGAATATTCGTTTGATTGAGATCACTGAATAACGCTAAAACTCAATTAATAGCATTCATAATTCTTTCGATTGATACTATTCATTTATCAAATATATTCACTAAATATTTATTGAACTTTCTCTATCCATTTATTTTTTATGAATACGTGTTCGTCGAGTTTAACACTCTGCTTAACACTAGAAATACCGAACATTTATTAGGGTTGATATCTATTCCTTGTAAATATTGTAACAGCAAATTTCTTCAGATATTTGTTATAGTATTATAGTTAGAAGAGACTCTTTAATTTCAAAATCATTTCGGATTGCGAATACTTTTAAAATATCGATAACTGGAAAATAAGAGAACTAAATTATTTTGAAGGGTACGGTAGTTCTAGTGTTATACACCCTCTACATTTGCTATATTCGATTTCTCTCCATTCGACGGACAAGCATGATTATTTACGAGAGGGCAGGGTTGCACAAAAATTATGATATTTTCAATATTGAACCACGCGAGCCCCACTCAACCGGGGAATAATTTATTGTGGCAACTTCGATTCGACCGGAACGATCAATCTTCAGCCGGCAACCGAGTCGCGTTTGAAATATTCCGCGGCTCGCCCATGGAACTGTTGAAGTTCCTGAGTTATGGCGGTTCGTTTGGTTAATTTATACTCGGCCCGGATGATTAAATAAGTGTTCCACAGCTTTCTTTGATTTTTCCTGGGATTTCCGTTGGTTAATCTCTTTCGCTTGTAGTAACATTTGAAACTTCGCGAAAGTTTCTGGTTGGGTTTAATAAAAATTCACGCCACTCGCTGCATACTCTTCGAAGTGAAATTATTTGACTATTATCGGTGTTTTAGTTTCAAAGTAAATGTGTACCAGCAATAAACAGTGATTTTCTAGCCTTCCCACGAAACGCTGATTGAGAAGTTAATTTATAAAGTATAGTTGAAAAGAACACTGTACAGTGAAGGATTAAGAAAGAATTTTATTACTGAGGTATATTGTACTCTATGTTTATCTTCGGAAAATTCGAAAAAGTATAGTTAGAATCAAAGTTAGGATTAAAGTATATATTAAGTAATATTTAATAATAATGATAATGATAAATTAGGATGAAAATATGCTAAGCAATGCATATTGAATTACAAAGATGGTTTCAAAGAAGACCTCAAAGATTAACATCGTTACGAATTAAAAAGAAATTTTTTAAGTCTATCGTTTAAAGTACAAAATTAATATTTATGCGTTTTCTTAATTTCAAAATTAAAATTTTAAAGTAAATTAAGACATAATTTTGAACTTTCATTTTAGAACAGTCGAACGTTCAATGACTAATATGTAATCATTATAAAAATTGTTACAATAGATTTTTCTTCTTTATATATTGATTAAAGTATTGAAGTGAAACTGAAATTTTGACGGGCGCGGTTGTTCCAGTGTTAAATGAACATTTTTTGAATTTACGGTTATATCCCGTGGGTTTTCCATTAGATGATTTATAAGACACTGCTTATGTGATGACCTGATATTTCGAATGTTGCTGTCACGTAACATTTAATTACGAGAATTCACGCAGTAATAGAGAACAAAGCTGCGCGATTATTTCGCCGCGATTGTCCGGCTTGTACCGAGCAACGTTGAACCGTTACCATTTTCGGTGAGGCGGCTCGTCCCACATTCGTTGCGTTTAATATTTATAATCGTGACTCTTCGATCCCGGCGAACGGAATTGTTTTAATTCCAACGGGCACGGTCCGTTCGTTCCGATACAATTAATTTTCGGCATTAAACGCGGAATCCTCGCTGGTAACACATGACCGCTCGTCAATTATTGATGTTTTATGAATAAAGTGGGGACCACGGGATTTTCGAGCGGAAAATTCACGATGATTTATTTCGGAAAGTATTCTTGTGGAACGTGATGTCTGGTGAAGGCATGCGGAGGATGTTGAAGTTGTGTACTGATAACCGGGCGTGATCCATCATTCTTTCAAGCTTGGAATTTTCATCGATTTGTATAACAAATTCTTTCTCTTTTTAGGTGAGCTTTCTCTATAGTTTCGTACTTTCAGCAAGTTTCGTTGCATAGATAGTGTCGCTGTTGTCAATAGAAACAGTGAATCATATACAGGCGCATTCGGTTATTTAAAAGAAAATTTTATTTCACGTTTTACTTATTTTTGTTCGAGCGGCAAAGCCAAATTATTTCGTTAATTAATTATAATTATCAAGACGCAAAGGTATACAGTACGTTAGTAATCGGATTTTAATGCATTTATCAGAAATTCGAATATATAAAATTGCATAAAATATCTGAAGTGTAGTGTCTTTTATAATATTTCTCTAAAAATGTCATTTCCTACCACTATTCTACTTTTCTAACTATACTGTCACATTCTGAAACTTGCATAAAGTCTTGCAACCTGGTAATAATGTTAACCCCTTGCCCTAGAATAACAATGAAAAAATTAACCCAACCAAAATCAAAATCGAAATGTTGCCATTTCCAACACTACACCCTCGCAATAAATTTACTTATAACATACATACAACACATTTGCAATAAATGAAATCCTCCTAATTTCTTACAAATTATACTGAAATTAGTTAGTCTCAAAAGAAACCATACAACAAGGGGCTAAATCCACCAGAAGCTTTTAATGCAGAGCATCGAGCCAATAAGGTGAAAGTAACTCAACGAAACTGCCGGAAACTGTCGCACGAACGGAACCGAAAAATTCCGGGACGCGAAAAACAGGGTCGACGAAGCTTCCCCGGGGAAACTCCTACGTCATGGCCGTTCAAGGGTTCTTGCGAGAGGCCGGCCGGCCCTTCGCCGCGGCGTATGAGATTCACGTCACGTCCGCTCGCTTGATTGCTTTCCCGATCCCGTTAGGCGGCGAAGAAGAAAAATAGAAGACGGAGAAAAGACGGCGAGAAGGGATTATTTTAAATTCTGCCCCACCCCCGCTATTAAATAAAGGCCGCGGGCGGAATGCGGCGCGCGGATCTTCCGCGAATAAATCTCGCGGGGCCTGCTGTTCGCGCATTTCGAATATTCCCAGGAAAAACCAGAGAATATTTTTTCCTGCGTTTTCCATGGGTAAGGGAACGAAGTTGGGTGTACAGAGAAATTCGATTCACGAATGTGAACCATTCGAGACAGATGCACGGAGTTTAAGTGAACCGAGATGATTTCGATGCTTCATGAACGGGCAAGCGTGATTTCATTGGGCGTCGATGTAGGTACTTCATGTCTTTTTTAACACTGAAACTACTGAGCAGTTAAAGTGATTTTTGTAAATTTCTCTATAGAAACTCTAATAGTGTATCTATCGAGACCTCGATCGATTTGTAGTTCGGTTTTCGCATTGCCAAATCAAATTTTTTAATAATTTTTCAGTGAAAGGTTTGTTATTTTTTTAATAATTAGAACAAGAATACATCAAGAATGGGTCATTTTGACCAATCTGGTAGTTTTAATGTTAATAGGTTAACCGCTACTCAGTCTGATCGGAGTATTTCGGTATCTTCTGCTAGCGAAGACACTCTCGAAAATTTTCTGTGATCGATGCTGCTTACATTGATTGGACACTTTTTTTAATATTAGAAAAATAATAAATTATTCTTACAATTAAATTAAGGTATTAAGTACTCCATTGTAATATTACTTTGAGATAGTTTCTTTTACTGGTTTTTAGTTTGGTTTGTTGTAATGGTAAATACCTGTCTTTAGATGTATTATTGGCATTAGGTATGCATGGTATGTTATCTGCAAGGCAAATGTAGTTGCTGATACGGTGACAGAGAATGTAACTATAATTTGAGGCTAAGTTATGATTCACTTGTGAGTAACTTATAATTAAGTTTACTTAATACTGGATATGACTATACTTCACATTAACTTATTAAGAATACTGGCACATACGAGTACGTTTGATTGTAGTTCAACGTTAAAGTTCATCAAATAGACTTTTAATTCTATTTTACCTAGTACAGAAATATAATTACTAACACGTCAATACGAAGAGGGAAGAAATAAGAGAAAAGAATATACCGTGAAAAAAAGTCGAGAACTGCGCGTAGTGTCTTATTCCAGTCTCGCCGGGTGAAATTCTCGGCGGCTAGAGAAAAGAAAGAACAAGTGCAAAGAACGAGACGTACCCAGGTCCATGAGATGTTCCTTGCCGAAGTGTCGCGCAGCGTGAACATGAAGAAGCCCGAAAGCGAGCTGCATTCCGGTGGTGAGCAACAGGGCGAGGAACCCGGCTGCGCAGACTAGCCACCCCCAGCCGCCGTCTGGGTAGAAATGCGTCCGCGTGCCGACATCGTCTATGTCTGAACGGAAAGGTTGCCGTCTTTACGATTCCTTGTTATCCCTTTCAGTGCTGTGGGCGCATATATGCGTCCAGCGATAGTCATTGCTGTGGACTGTGAGCGCATATACGCGTTTTTCGATCTTTTCAATCTCACACGTGCGGTAGCGGCAATTATAAGTGTATGTGATTAACTCTCGCATGCCACATGCAGGGTCATTTTGAGACAATTGTATATAGTATAAGATGTGAGGTTTTTACAACATTTATACAGGGTGTCTCGCGACTCGTGATCAACCAATTAGGAGGTCATTCTACATGTAAAAATGAGTCGACAAAAATAGGATAAAATTTTTTTCGGCGAGTCTTAGTTTTCGAGAAAATCGAAGTCGAAAATTTACTCGGTACATGTCGACTTTGTGCATCTCACTATACACACTTGTTTTGATTCTTTTTATACATTTATACGTTTTGATACATTTTTACACATAGAATGACCTAATTGATTGACCATGAGTCGCGGGACACCCTGTATATCATAATCTCGTACAACAAATACTTTATGTATTAATTGCTTTTATTTGTAAGAAATATTACATTTAATTGTAATGTAATATATATATATATTTAATGTATATATATGTATATATAATGTATATACATATATATGTAAACATATTTGCAATATTTTGAGCAAATATTTTCCTGCGGTCACCGCGAGTAAGAAATTTTTACTATGGATCACTTTGACCCTGCATTCCTCTGCCACGTGAGTGTCGAAGCATGCATCTTCCAAGACTTAATATACGCATTTCTTAGCGTTATTCAATTTTATGAAACCGAGGAATTACAATTACAATTTAATTACGACTTAAATAATTGTATGAATTGGAATAATCCATCAATCTTCAAATGAACAACCATACACTTTTAAATATACTTATATTATTGATCCAGATATTTTGTTAATACGATTAAAAAAAAGCGATCCATTTTATCCTACTTTCCCTTACGACACATACTTCAACGCTGGCACCACGCGAGCAAGTTCGTTGAACAAGAATATACATTCAGATTTCAGGAAAAAGTGGTTTTCTGATGTTATTGGGTTGTAAAATGAATCACCTTGTTCGTATTTGGTAAATAAATAATTTCGTTTGTGCTTGATATCTCTTTTTTTTTTGTTACGGATTTTATGAAACTGTGCAGTAGTTCGTAATGGAAACATGAAACTAAAGTTAATAATATTTAGAGATCTAGTTCTACTGTTAATAAGAAGATTTATTATATTTATATTAGATTGTACGATCCAATATTTTCTGGATTGAGAGTAGCACTTTTGCTGATCAAAGTAACTTTACCGGCTCGAGGAAATGCCGGCACGCATCGCGGGAAAGTCGACAGGTTCCCGAGCATCCAGTTATTGTTGTCAGCGATGCTGCCTTCGGAATCCAGGTAACGCACCCGAGGATCTGAAACGATCGAATGTTAGTATATTGGAAACATTGTTCCGCTTTATTGCAAGATGTTTTAATGTATCGTTCAATTGTCTGTTCTATATTATCACAGAATTTTAAATATAATAATATGTTGAAATATTAAAATATTAAAGTATTAAAATATTGAAAATTGAAATGTTGAAATATTAAGATATTGAAATATTGAAATATTGAAATATTGAAATATTGAAATATT